AACACTAGACAATGAGATGTATTTGCCAAGGCATCTTGATATTAGTCCTCAATATGTTAACACAGGTGCCTAAAGGGGAATTATAAAAGAACAGAATTTAGAAAAAGGAAAATACCCTAAACTATCTCATACTATGATATAATATGGTTAAAAGAAATCCGTTAGACTATCATATCTACCATAATCTGACATACCTGGGGGTCTAGGATTAGCCATCAGCTCATTGAATGTATCTTCAGAGAAACTAAAATCTCCACACCTTTGCATACCAGGTGGGGCAGCATTCATGTCTGATATGGCTCCTTCTTTAAAGATCATCCCCATTCCCTCGTCATTGTGAAATTCAATGTGGCAGTGAGAATACCAGAAACCTGAATTCAGATAGAGTTGTTTCTTTGATTGTTGTTTTACAAAGTAGTGTTTTATTTACATATTTTGTTCTGACTTCTTTTGTTGGTTTAATGAGTTGATGTGGTTCACTGGGCTTTGTACCTATTTGTTAACTGGCAGGCATTAGGTGTATGCAAATTCAAATATTTTAAACTAACTAAAATGGTCATAAGTCTTTTATTACTGCCAGGTATTTGTGTGACCATTAGTCACTGCACAAGCTAAATCCTACCTGGATTGTCTGCTTTGAATCTGACCACGACATATCCCCCCGCAGGTACAAGAACAGTATCTTTACGAGGGGCCCCTTGATTCACAATGCCAGGGATGTTTCCATTATACCAGCTTGAGTTCCTCCACCTTGTATCATCGTGACATAAACCCGATGGACACTCAAAGTCACTATTCTGATGCAAGTATTTCCCAGTCATATTATTATATTGTGGCCATCCTACTTTGATCACTTGAAAGCTATGGCCATGGATGTGGATTGGATGTGAATTTCCATTAAGAACTCCATCTGCAATTAAAAAGTAGCATTTCATAGTGTCAGAAATACCTAAATTAAGAAATGATTTAAATAAAGAGTGAGAATGACATTGTTACAGATGTGAAGGGTCGTAGTTCTATTTTGCATTAAGCTTTTGACAATATTTATGTCTCACAATTTCTAAATAAACTACCTTATTTTCTCTACTTTGTCCATGAAAAATGACACAAAATGAATAACAGTATTAAAGGGCAGCTATCATTCTCACAACCTAAAATATTTTTAATTCAAAATGATATGTAAATTTATCAAATAGACTTGGAAAAACCTTGTGTTCTGTAATTATTGAAGCTTGAAATGGAATTCCTGTAAATACTAGTATTAGTGAATAATTGCTGAGTTTTAATCATGACATACATATAAAATTGTGACATGATGGAAAAAAGATGAACTGCTCCTTAACTTCTGACTTACTGGCTGGTGGTGATATTGTAGTGATAAGAACTAATTGTATAGTGTTTCCCAGAGGAAGCTCCACCATGTGGGTACATTCTTCTACATCAGGATTTGTTTCTCCTAGTTTACAAATTTCATGTCTCGAATCAACTGATTGCGGGTACACCTGAAGAATAAAAGCATATTATTATCATCTTGTCAGACATATACATGTATATTGCAATATTGTAGTCTTGCCTCATAATCAGCTGTCTATTTCCTTGGTATATCTTTTTCAAATAAATTCTATTTATAATCCTTACATAAAAAAGACTTTCAATTGGTTTTGTATAATATTATTGATGTTTATATGTGAGAATGTAATGTAATATGACGGTATAATTAACCCTGCGACTTATAATGTTAAACAAAGTCGCCTTTTTGGAAATTTTCTTTTTACATATATTATTGTTGTATTAAATAAAACATGATAAATAAAAAAAAAATAAAAAAAATATGACGGTCTTGGTAATAGAACTACCAATTGCATTGCATGCCATTTATGACATCATCAAAGGAATTACCTGGGGTGGCCTAATAAATGGTTGATGTCTTCTGCCATTCACTGTAGGAACCCACTGGCCTAAGACATCAAAGCCAGAGAAATGATAATTCAAAAACATTTCAGTGAAATGTTCAGGATCTGAGTTGTGAGTGGGTTCCATCAGAGGAGATCTTAGATCTGTGAGAGGAATACACAATGTATTTTCTTCCACAGGGTAAAACCTAGAGCAAATGATAAAATACTGAGATGAAAAGAAGGTTGAAAATTGTTTTAAACTTAATACAGTATATATATATTGGTATAAACATTTTCTGAAATGTTCTTAATGTGACTCTATGACTCAGACATACACACGTAAACAGGTGAGAGACTGATATGACACTAAAATGAGCCAATAAATATAATATAATATTTATATACCTATATGGGCAGTTTAAAACAAGGCATGGTTTTTCAGCTGTACACTTGTTTCTGCTCTCAAGGCATATTTTATTGGTCTTGTCTGGTTTGACATTTTGATATCTCAGTAATGCATGCATCTTTCCTGGTTTGATCCTCTGAAAACATATCTATTTTAAGTAATTGGCAACTTGTAGGGACAAAAATTACATAGTGGTTTCCCATTTCCTTTTACCTGACTGGTTGTTTGTTATAGTTGTCTGTAAGCAGGGTGTCTCTTTGCGTTTTTTAACACCATAGCAAAGGTTGAACTTTTAAAGGATTGGTATCGATATGGCGAACTGAATTCAACATTCTTTTTCTCTTAACCAATTATTGAAAACATTCTGTAAAAAACACGGTCCTTTATGTAATGGTCACTGATTGACAACAATTTAATGCGAAAATTATTTAAATATATTTTTATAACTTGCAATTGTTTTTTGTTCCTTTATTCCAATTCTTGAGAATGAAATAAAATATCTTTCTGGCCCTTTTTGGAACAAAATAGCATATACAACATTTTCTTAGACCTCTCAATATTATAGTTATACAAAGGAAAATTTGGTTAATTTAACAAAAAGTTTCAAAAAATCAACCCCCCCCCAAAAAAAAAAAATAGATAACATTAAAGTGAACCTTTTATTTCATTAGCAAGATACTTTTTTAAATCAACCAAACTTTCCTTTGTATAATTACAATATTGAGAGACCTAAACATGTTGTGTATATATCGTTTTGTTCCTATGAGATTCGGATTGATATTTCTATTTTCATTCTGAACATATGATACCAAGAACAAAAGATGTGTTTTCTAAAACTATATAGAGAAAGGTATATTAATTTTTTTTCAAATTAAACTGTTGCAATTCAAAAGATGATCACAAGATTGATGATGTGTAAAATTTTCAGAATTTTCTTTCTGATGACTGGTTTAATAGAATCATGCGATCCATATTGAGGCTTTGTATAAAAAACCTCCTACCTCATACCCACCTACCTACGTACGTTGGGCATGATACAGTCTTTGAAGGGTTCAATTTTAAAGATCTTAGTTTATTAAGTCCTAGTTTATGATGAATTATAGATGCATTTGTAACGACCCTTGGTAGCAAGTTGTAACTACAGCCCAGCTGGGTTTGATTTAGCACACTTTCTTTCAATTTTTTTATCTGGCTTGTTGGACCTATGCTCGCGGTCGTTAATTAGTTATTCCCCTGGGGCACCCTCGGGTCATTGGACATTACTATGCACCTATATGCTTTCATTTATGGATCTGTCATCCGTCTAGTCATAAAATAAAGCTGGAATTGTAGAAATGTTAATAATTAGAGCTATTTTGAGATTTAAAAATCTTTAAAATTGAACCCTGTAATGACTGTATCATGTCCCACATAGGTGGGTGGATGGGTGTGAGGTAGGAGGCTTTTTATTCAAAGCCCCATATCGATACCAATCCTCTAATATAACTTTTATTGTATCATTAGATAACTATATTAGTCGCAACTACTCTCTAGAACACTTTAGGACATACTATTTTAATTAACAAGGTGTCATATCTAATGTGCCACTTAAATGTTTTAGCATATTAAAAAATGCTGCACCCTAAGTGACATCACCCTAAGTTGTCAATCTCTTCTTAATATGTTAAATTTAACCAATTAAACAAACCAATTTTGACTGACTGTCTACAGCGTTGAAAAGGAGAATATATTATGTTTTAAATATTATTGAAAGTTTTTAAAATGCATTATTGTCTGATTCAATGCATGGATGAGTTAATTTCTCGCTTATTTATCAACCAGTTTTGCACTTTTTCTTCTTTTTTAGACAAAAATATGTGAGGATGAATGCTATGCATTGTTGTGAATAATCGCTTATCAAAAGATATTTGTGAGCTCTCAAATTTAGTTTTTGATAAATTCACAATTTTTGAACAATAAGTCTTTCAAAAACCACTTTTTCAAATTAAATAAAGTTTCACATAGCACATTTTGATAGCATTGGATATGAAGATGAACAACATTTCATCATGATTTGTAAGAAAAACACTACAGAAAGAAAACTTTTGTTTGAAACCCTTACACAATTTAATTTTGTAGGCAGTTCTGACATTATTTTTAAAAAACTGATGTCTCACAAAAATTCTTATGTAATTTTACATTTAGCAAAGTTCATCTATCATTCACTCAAAAAATTGGATTAATGTGTCAATGATACATCACACTGATATTTCAATTTGTATCTGTATTTTACAATTATCTTGTATTTTTGTATTTTACATTTGATGATGTATATATAACTTTTATTGACATATTAATTGTATCATAACATGATTACATTAGTCATAAACTACTCACTAAAACTACTATCTACTACTAAACTACTTACTAAAACTACATCTTTATAAAAATATACATGATTTGATATATTTACAGAAAGCATACAAGAAAGGCAAAATATTTTAAAGTGTGATGCACAAATTTTGCTGATTATTCTAAATTGCTAAATGAATGGTATATAAATTTACCAAGATGTCGTTGGAAGATGATATTATCATTAGAAATTATATTTATAAATAAAACGTTACTATTCAAGTCAAATGTTGGTAATATTTCAGAAATTTTACTGAAAAAAATTTGCCTGTGTTGAGAATGCTTTGTACAATTTATGATAAAATGAAATTCATCCTCCACACATTTACATATAGGTTTGGGTTTTATGTGTCTTCCAGATTCTATTTTTAGCCGATGTGAACTTAACCTAAATCTACCTATTGCTAATCTATATTTTTTATTATCTAGTTTCAAATATGGTTCTAATTCAAAATCTTTCTTAAATAGCTTATATGTTCTTAATATAGGATATTGTAGAATATCATTTCTCCAATTATTTATAAATGCATTCTTTAGTTTCTTGTCAACCAAGTTTACTAAGTTGTCTGTATTTTGACTTTGGTCATCCCAATACTCTGTTAGTTCACATTTGTGAAGAATATCATAAACTTTTCCAGACCATGATTTAAACCCTAA